GGGTCTAGGGGGCGAAGCCCCCCAGCCGAAGGGGTAGGGGGCAAACCACTTTCTTTCCCCTTATCTTTTCTTCCCTCCCTTTCCTTTCCTTTTCTTTCCTTTTCTCTTTTTTTCTTCTCTTTCTTTTTCCTTCCCTTCCCTTTCTTTTCCTTTCCTTTCCTTTCCTTTTTTTTCTTTTTTCTTTTTTTTTTTGTCTTTTTATATCAGATGTGCATGAGGCGTACACCTCTAGCACGCCTCATGAAAAAAGTGCAAGAGGTGTATGCCTCTTGCACCTGAGGCGTACGCCTCAGAGGTGTCAGTGCCTCTTGCATACGCCTCGGGGCGTTTTGGGAGCACCTCACCTGGAGGCGCGCCTCTAGGTGTATGCCCGGAAGAAATAGGAAAACTGGAGCCGCTCCCTGTAGGCTTCAGTGAACTGTACTAGGTATGGATCGATCTTCAAGAAAATGAAAGGGGACCCTTTCAGTCACTGAGCATCAAGGTAAATCTCCCTGTGGGACCCGCAATCAGAACTCTCCAGTTGATTAGGGTTTTGGGCAAAAATCTCCGAAGACTATCAGAATAGTGAACTAGACATCTTCCTTTTCTCCAAAAAACCACCACCAACTGGGCTGAATACTTTCTTCAATCACTCATTCGATTCAGCTCTCCATACACACTTTGTATGGGAAAAAAAGAAAAAAAAAAGGAGAAAGGAAGAAAAAGGGGACCTGCTCTGATACCAGGAAGAAAAACAGTCCCAAAAGAATGAGAGGACTGATTAAAGAATTGTAAAAAAAAAAAGAGAAAACGGCAAGAAGTAGAAGTTGGCTGTGAGAAGGGTTTAGAGAGATGAGTTGTTTGTACAGATCTCTCCTTTCCCTAATCTATTTTATTAACTTAATCACCAACTTTTAGTAATTTATAAGTTAGCCCTTGGTTGGGCGGCAGCTAATTACATAAACGTAAACTAATGTTAACAAGCCATTAAAGAGAAGGCCCATTAACAGAATAAGACATAAACATAAAAACTAAACATAACAGAAAACACAAACACAAGCTGTGGGTTATGGGCCATTCGGCTCATCTTCTCTACAAGGTCTGAAGTTAATTTGTTTAAGAACTTATTCTTATTGGAATTAGAACATTAAAGAAGTGAACCTAAATTGACATCCTAATCTCAATTTAGGATTTATGCTTCACTTGAAGTGCAAATGATTTGTTATGTTTTTTGAGGCAACCCCTCATCCTCGCATTTGCAAATAAGTTCATCTAAATACCACTGATTTAATTGACACACACACAACCAAAAGAAGCTTAGAATGCTAAATAACAACTGTTAATGCTGAAAGCAGGGATTGGCTATAAGCATACCATCTGAGGATCAATTCATGAAAAAACTTGTAGAAGTAAAGAGCATAGGCATGATATGGGCAGATCGTGCCAAGAAGGTTTGTTGCACCTCTATTGGTATCTTCTATATTAATCCACTTTCTTATTATGCATTTTTGAAAATGGGACATGTCCGCTTTTCTGCAGGTTGCAATGGATTCTGGTGCACTTGGATTGGATAAAGTATTTAAACTTATTACAGAGGGTGAAAATTTACCAGTCTACTTTGAAAAGGAGCTTAAGGTAACTCTATTATTGGTGCATGTAGTCTTTGTTGACTGTGTCTGATGGGTCTTGTTTTGCTTGGTGGCTGCAGTTATTAAGAGCCCGAAGTGCACTTCACTGTATCTGTCGGAAACCATATGACCAGAGAGCCATGATTGCTTGCAATAGGTGTGACGAGTGGTACCACTTTGATTGTGTTAATCTCCATCCACCACCACCAAAGACTTATCTCTGCCCTGCATGTGAACCATGTTCAGAAGAAGCCATGCCTTTGTCAGCAGTGACGAAATATGAGGAGCGGTAAGGTTCAACATAGTTTTTTCCATTAATACAGTATCTGTATCCTGTCTCTGTTCAATCTGCATTTTGACATGCTTTAAATATCACCAAACTGAAATTTCAGTTTTGAAAATACTCACTAAACAGGCTGAGACTTTGAAGTCACATATCAATTTAGTGGGCTCTGATGGAGATTAACACAATAAGGGATTTTCTGGTCTTTTATGTATCTTTGCATTTTTAGCAGCTAGGGTATTTTAGTTATTTTCTTCAAGGTTAAGTAGTTCTATCCTAGGATTTGATTTAAATATCTAGGAGTTTGTTTAATTTTTAATTAAAGCATGAAAGCAGCAATTCTGTAAATTCTATTTTCTAAGTTCTTGAAGAGTTGGCCTGTCCCTAGTGCCTTTATGTGAGATCTATGTTCATAATGTGGTTAATGAATTTTGGAGAATATTTTCTGCTATGTGCTTCTGTGAGTGATAATTCTTTCTTTTAGAAAAAAGACATGGAAGAAATCTATCAAATCCATTATTCAATATCAACTAAAGCATATGATATCCCTTTCATTTTAGTTAGTTTCCTTCCCTCACATAATTTCTTGGGAGAGAGAAACTTCACTTTGAGGATTTCCGAGCTGCCCCTACCATTCTGAAAGGTTTTTGCAAATTCTAACCCCCAACCTGCTTGATTTCAAAAACCCATTGACTAAGGTTAAAACCCATCAACACGCGCAATTGAACTATTGAATCAGTCAACCCTCTTAGTGGGTGAAGGGTCAGACACCAAGTGGTTGCATATTAGAAACTCCAACTTGATAATAGTGGTATTGCAGGTTATAGAAGTCCCACCTCCACTACTGAAACTGAGACCACACCAATGCTTTTTTTTGGCCCAATTTCTTAGACTGATGATTCAATGTTAGAAATAATTGTGCAACCAGGTGGGTCCTTTCTTTGCCTGATTCAATAATCAACTTTCCTCAACTCTGTTGTTTTTAAAGCCACCACCAGATTGAGTCTCTTCTGGTGGAAGAGAAGCTGTTGCCAGATGTCACCAAATCATTGTTTCTTCTTACTATGAGAGTTAGTTCTGCAACTTCTCATTCTCAGAGCCTGACCTGTTCAACCTGGATGGTTGAACCAGAGAACTGTCACACAGAAAGAAAAGTGGGTCAGCCACTAGTTTGGACTTTGAAACACTGTTCTAAAGGATTGGTCTTGTTTAGAGCAAAGGTTGGTAATGCACCAGCCTTGTTTTTGGCAATTAGAATTAGTAACTCCATTAGGACAGTGTTGATGGTATAGTTGTCAAGGCGATGCCTAGGCGACAAGGCACCCTTTGAGGCTCGCCTCGCCTAATCGCCAAGCAGTTTTTTACTTTATATTATAAAATACTTTTTTGTTCATTCTTTTTTGAGATTATAATTATAAAGTAGACATTATTAAACTAAAATAATCATTTTTTATGTTTATATACTAATTTATTTTTATTATTTTCTTATTTATTAGGGTTTAATCAACACAAACATTGCTAAATGCTGTATTGAACCCTCAAAGACTTCAAAACCTGAACTAATAAGTAAGGAAGAATGCTGTAGTGTTCCTTGTTGTTGCTGATGCCCTGTAAACCTCCCGAGTGCCAGAATAGCTGGCGCTGCAACATTTATGGCTAGCCGAGCCGATGCTTGTCCAGTATCCATTCTGAGTGGCGTCAGGCTCAGCGACTTCAAGGAAAGTTCCTACAGCACAAGAAGGCAGTCATTGATACCGCTGAAAATGCAAACACTGAAAGACGGTTGGCGTGTTGCACCTTGAAGGATTGTCCTCGCCTGGTGGCACTGCGGAAACGGTGTGGCCTCAGCAGGACACGCCATACTTATACCGACGCTGGCTCCATACCGGTAGTAATAGTAGCTGTTCAGTTTCGATCCATCTAGGGTAGGGTTTTTTCGTTTCCTTGATTCCCCTATTAAAATCGAAGCTGTGCAGCTACTACCAGGAGGTGAAGCAGAGGGAAAGGTGGCCCTCGGTGGGGGAGTTCTGTGCAATCATGCTCTTATAAATATGCTACGCTCACCACCATCCCATCTCACTGCGTTCGCTATGCTCTCTCCTACATTGGTGCTTTGCTATGCTCGCGTAGCAGCTACAGGAGCATCAGTGCTTCGCTACGATCGCTAACATCATTCACTCTGTTAGCTCGCTACACTCGCGTAGTAGCAACAACAGGAGCCCTAAAAGGTCTAGAAGGCCATTTTAGGTGCGTTAAGCAAGCAATAGCTTGCCCTATTGTAGGGTGGTACATGAGGACATACTACTACTACTTTTTCTTTTCTTCTTTTCTTAAAACAAAAATAAGGGTTCAGCCCCTACATTTTTTGAATTTTATATTCTTTCTTCTTTTTCTTCTCAGGAATATGTTGATTTTCTATACTTTAATATGAACTATATGGTTATGGTACCTGTAAAGAGACTGGGCCGAATGGGTCCTAGTATCTTCTCTTGTAATATCTTTTCTTTTATTGTTGGCTAATGGGCCTGCTATTTCTTGTTGTTTAATCTCTTTATGTTACTGCCTAGCTGGCCGTCCACTTAAGGGCATACTTGTCATTACTCTAACTTTAATTCTTAATAAAAAAATGATTAGAGGAGAAAGGGAAGATAATTCGATACTTCTTCTTCTTCCTTCTCTTTTCGCCATCTTCTTCTCTTGTGTTGCTGCTCTTACTTCTCTTCCTTTTTCTTCTAATCTTCAAATTTACACCTAATATTTGAGGATTGATTTACATCTTGGTATCAGAGCAGGTCTATTTCTTCCTTTTTTTTTTCTTTCTTCTTCTTTTCCCATACACCCTTAGATTCAGAGAGTGTATGGAGAGATAGATTCTCTATAGTTCAGAGGATCTCTGACCTAGTTGGTAGAGGGTTTGGAGAGTTTAAATCTGGCTGGATATTGCCAAGAAGCGGTGTTGTTCTGTTGCTGCCTAAAAC